CTTTTCCATTCTTTCACAGAGGCACAACATGTATTGTCTTGCTACAAGCATTAAAAACTAAACTTTAGAAGTAAAAACATAAAGAAGTAGTTGCTCCTCAGATTAGTGAAGATGCCCATATTGCATAAAGTTGGGATTCATGGGATTCAAAAAGAAGTTTGTATCATTGTTGCTTAATTAAAAAACAACCACTGTGAAAGGTGAATGTGGATTAAACAGACTTGAATCTGTCACTGTCTAATCTCTCCACAGAATCTGCTATTACAATTGTGCAAAATTCAGATGACCGTCTGAAAGCAAGGTTTCTCTGCTTTGAAAACAGTTGAATGCTTTCTTGTTTTAATCTTTCCATAGCAGCAGAAGGTCCGCAATCACCTTTCCATCACATTCTACCCAAGTGCAAGCTGGCCAGAGACCTCAAGGAGGCTTATGACAGGTAAGAGGAATCCTCCTGATAACCCAAGCTATTCTTCTTCTTGGTGAAAAGTCTTTGACCTGTATATTATCACCAGCTCACCTGATTTTATATGTCTCTTCCCATTAGTGATTATTGGATCACTGGAGACACCAGTTCAGAGAGGAGGTTTGCCTCTATTTTTTGTATTGCATTTGATTCAGTCTCATCCCAGTCAGTGAACATGAACAAGTATAGAGCCCAGAAAGTGAGTGGCCCTTTGGGCTTTGAAGTTAAACCAGGTGGAGGTTTGTAGCAATATGGCGTTCAGCTGTTGAAGTAAATCAGAAATATTATGGAAACCAAGTTGCTATCTTGGTCTCTCCAGTAGGATATCCCAGGGATTATCTTCTTTGAGGCTTGATAGGAGTCTTTGCCATGGCTATAAGAACTGTGCTACTCTTCCTTGGCTGGCAAGAGGCCTAATGACAACTTATTTGCAAAGTATCCTATCAGCAGCATTTTGGGCAGCAGCTCTCCCAGCAAGCACCCCAAACATACAATTTTATGCACTGCTCCATGTAACATAGTTGGCAGTTCCACAGGTTCCCCCTACCTCACTTGGTTACACTTTGCATGCCTGGAAGCCTGGATAAATGAGGCCTTTAGCATCATATAAACTGCAGCCTGTCAAAGCCTGACCAGTTAATGGTTCTGGCTGGGATTTCAAAGATGCTTAAAGGAGTTAGAAGTTCAATTCCCGTTGAATCTCAGTGCGAGTTGGGCACCCATCTCTCTTGGACTCCTTTTGAAAATTCCAGTCTGTGTGTCTTTCTGCTCTGTCATGGCATAGCTAACCCCTTAATGCAGAGCAAAGGGCTGCATTTGGTGCACTAGCATGTGCTGGTGACAACAGCTACCACAGCAGGGGGAGACAGAACCCGGAACAGGGAGTCTTGGCAGATAAGTAGAGCAGGAAGGTTGATTCAGTGTTTAGGGGCCAGGCTTCAATTCCTTGCTCTGCCACAGACTCCCTGGGTGACTTTGGTTAAATCACTTAATCTCTATTGACCTAAAGTTCCCCATCTGCTGAAAGGGGGTAGTAGCACTTTTCTGCCTCACAGGGTTGTTGTGAGGCTAAATATATTAAAGACAGATGATTAGATACTACTGTAATTGGGGCCAGAGAAGCATTTTAGATAGGAATGATAGTTAACAACAATTTTCTGTGATAATTGCTTTTGACCTTAAGCTTCTGGAAGAAATTCAGGCCCCTTTGAAAGAAGCTGCAGAATCTGCATTTGGTGTGAATCCTGTAAAACATACTCTAAGTTTTATTTGAAAACATTTTTCCTGGCCTGGATTTTGAATACCAAACTCTCACCCACTTCTTTTTTTTCTACCTTCCTTCTGGTTTATTTATTTGTGACTCACTGTGGGGTCTGTCCAGTAATACAGTGACATCTAGTGGCTGAGAACAGTGACTGAGATAATTTTGAATCTAGGACCAAAACTCATGGTAAGGACAGAAAATACATAGTGGTGCCCACACAATTTTCCCAATGTGCTAGCATCTGCCATCCATTGAGATAGTCCCTGCCCCAGTACACGTCTATCTGGGGAAGTAGGCCACTCCCTCCCAACCCTCATCCATGCTGTAGTGGAAACTTCTGCCACATTATCTCATGTTGACATGGAGCATTGCTCAATGGAATCTTGTCTTTAATTATTTTACCTAGCTTATTTCTGATTTGAAGGCATTACTAGAGACTATCCCAGTTAAAGCTGGAATGAAGTTGTTTGTTGGTTTCCTCACCAAGTGCTGTTTGCTTTATATCTTTAGAATCTGATTTTGTGGCATTGTATTGGCATAACTACAATTACAGTTTTTTACAACATTATATGCTTTGTATCTGTTTGATTAGTCTGAGGTATGCAAAACAATTAAATAGTTATAAATCTTGATAGTAGCCAATTTATTGTCTTAATTGTGTATGAATTTCTGGCAGTTTCCCTCCTGGGAAGCAGCATGGTGCAGTATATGGGGCACATGGAGTTGCGAACCAGATTCTATTTCTGGTTCTGCCAGTGACTCACTTGGGCAAGTCACTCAGGCAAGTCAGAAACATCCACTGATTTTTGGTTGTCCAATTGGAAACATCTTGGTTTTCAGCAGTGCCAAACCTCTGAGTTGACTTTAATTGGCGTTTAATTGGTGCTGTAACTGAGGGGGATGCAATTGTTTCAAAGTATTTTCCTACAAGGCGCTCCCCACTAGATGGCACTGGAGTATTTCAAGTCAGGTCTGACATATCCCTAGTGCTTCATTCTGTGTCATGAGACGTATACAAATCTGAACCTTTGTCACCGCTCAAAATGCATTGAATGCTCCTATCTTTTAAATTGCAGTATAAATGGGGTGGGCTGGCATGATTATAGATAGTTATACCACTAGTTCCCATGATTTCCTAATGGCTGTAGAAGAGAACCTCAGAAAGCAGGGCTTTTTAATGATTAGTTTAAAAGATTTTAATGCATTTGGGATCCTCAGACATTTTCCATACAACTCTGCCTACAACGTGAACAAAAAGCAATGGCTTGAAGGCCAAAATACCTCAGCTATAGCTCACAGACTGATTGCCATAGTTTAAACTGCAGCTGCAGAGAGCGTTTGCTAGGTTTACACCAGTCCACCACTTAGAGGTTTTGAAGAAGAAAATATTTGCTGTTTATTTAGTGGGGCTCTACTGTTTCCACCTCTCTCCAGATAGGTTTTTCGTACAACAAGAGCAACCACACACTTTCAGCCTGACTGATTTTCTTTTAGGGGAAGGGTGACAACCAAAGCAAGAATGAACAAAAATAGGGAAAATCTTCATGAGGGTGGTGTCTCTCTGTTAACATTTTGTTTCAACTTTGTCTCGCAAAATGTCGGATGTCCCCATAAGACAGGCAGGCTTTGTAGAAATTTCAAGGTGGAATACAGAGCAAAAGTGATCGCCATTATTTAGATACATTGGGCTTGTCTAGATGGCTAGTTTAGTGTGTGGCAGGTTGGAGTGTTTCAAAGCAGATTAAATCAGCACACTCTAGGGAACTTTTAGTGCACAGTAACAAAGTCCACATGACCAGTTAGTGCGTGACTTGCTAGTATGTTGTAGATTTACAGCCCACCTTGCAGCACACTGACTAGTCATCTAGACAAGCTTATACCCAAGAGACTACTTATACACAAACTGGTCTCCATGGCTCAGTAGAAGAGGCTACTACAAGGTCAATAGAATTATGACATCACCACATGAATAAGGCCGATGTACTAATACAGTAACAGCCATACTGCATTGCAATGCTTGGTACAAAAGCCATAAATAACGGATAACAAGTAGTGTACATGCAAAGAGGGGTACATCTTATTCAAGGCTCCAAATGGCTACTGCTTTGTATTTCAAAGAGAAGGCTACCAACACAAGCCTATAATCCCCTTCCTAGGGTACATTTTGAATAGCATCTAATAAACATGTCTATAGGACACTCTACTTATAGATGAAGTGCTGTAAAAAGGTGAGTAGATATAATTATCTGTATCTTGCATATGGAGAAACAGAGATGCAGAAGTTAAGCCCAAAATTTTCATAAGTATCTATCAATTTTGGATGCCCAGTTTGGGACATCTCAGACCTGATTTTCCACAAGTGTTGAGTGCCTGTGTTGAATTTAATTGGAACTGTGGTGCTCATCATCTCTGAAAATCATGTTCAAGGCGTCACGGTAGGCAACCAAAATTAGTGGACACTTACCGTATATAAACTATTACTCACTCTTTTTAATATAGATAATTGAATAAATCGAATTTTGGATTCAGATGTTCTTACTTAGCCTTGGTTGACCTAATTATGTCAGTGTACACACTACAGCCTTTCTCCCACTGATGTAAGTGCCCTGCTACACCAACATCTTAATTACACCTCCACAAGAGTTGTAGGCTTATGTCGGTGTTAGGGTGACAGTGTCCTTGTAAACATTGCAGGTTACTTATATCTGCTGTTCCCTGCCGTTTTTGTCAATTTCACAGCTTATGTCGACTGTGAAGTCCCTTCGTGGATCCCACCCCTAATAATTTGTTCTGTGCAGTCCATTTTTATTTTCATGTTTCCTTTGAGCATTGTAAATAGTGTGAGTGAATGTTATATCCAGAATACCTTTTGACTGTGCTGTATTTTAAGAGTTCATTCTTGATGGCATGTTACCAAATGTATGTCAATTATGGGTGAATCTGCTGGGTCTTCCTTAGCCAGGATAAACAAGTGTGTTTTAAATTTCATCCTTTAAGTCCAAGAAAAACCAGTTTGTTTGCAGTACTGTGGTGTAACTTTGGATGCCCTTTAAAGGCTTCTTGCTGCTGACTGGATGTGGGATTGAGGAATGTGTGAGAGTGGCTTCCAACTCTCAGTAGCTTCCATATCAAATTTGCTCAATTTACAAGTAATGGATTTTCTAACAACCAGGACTTCAAGTTCAGCCTGGGATCTGAGAGTAAAGCTGTGGTGTTTCTGCAGCTCAAATCATTACCAGTAATAATGATTCTGGGGTGAGATCTTAGCTAGCGAGTTTGATAGTGCACAACACAGAACAGAATCCTGTTCTGCTCCACTACTGCTGTGTTATGGGGTGGCACTCTAGCTAAACCTGCGACATAGCTTCAGTTTAAAGCTGACGTTTCAGACTTATGCAAACACTACATACAGTCAGCTAAATTTGAAAATTGTTATGCAAATTCATGGCTTGGGATGGTATATTTGGTAATTTAGGCTATTGTTACACAGCAATGTAAGCCTAGGGTTAGTGGGACTTGAGTTAGCTGACCTGTGTCAGGGAACCCTGGGCTTAAGTGTCTACATTGCATTTTAACCCTAGGTTAAGAATTTTCTGACCCATGCTCAAACCTTGGGTTCTGGTGTCCACACTGCAGTGCACAGACCCGCATCAAAGTAAAGGTATCCTGAAGTGTCTAGCGTGCCCCGCCACCTCCACCCTATGTCGACACTCTAGCCTTAGGAACATGGTGCACTGTGGGGAAACTCTTCTGCCCACTCTGTTTCCTAACGGTGGTGGTGCTATTGATGGGATTCATGTGCCCATAAGGTGCATGTAAGCACATACGCCTCATAATTAGCTCCTTTAGTGGCTGTCTCAGTAGAATGACTGCAATTTGAGAAGGCTTTATACCAGGGATCGGCAACCTTTGGCACACGGACCTCCAGGGAAAGCCCCTGGTGGGCCGGGCCAGTTTGTTTACCTGCTGCGTCCGCAGGTTCGGCCGATCACAGCTCCCACGGGCCACGGTTCGCTGCTCCAGGCCAATGGGGGCTGTGGGAAGCCGCGGCCAGCACATCCCTCGGGCCGCGCTGCTTCCTGCAGCCCCCATTGGCCTGAAGTGGCGAACTGCGGCCAGTGGCAGCTGCAATTGTCTGAACCTGCGGAAGTGGCAGGTAAACAAACTGGCCCAGGGGCTTTCCCTGACGGGCTGCGTGCCAAAGGTTGCTGATCCCTGCTTTATACTGAACTATCATCTAATCTGAGAATTGGGCTCGCCAGCTCTAGGTTGAGTCACGTTGGTAGGAAAATGCCCATGTGCACCTGTTCAGAGAATAATTAGGAAATTTATTTAAATGAAACTTTGCGATGCTTAATTTTTAAAATGGGATTTTCAATGAAGGTGTTCTTGTTTGTTTTGTTTTATTTTTGTCTGTTTTGAAGTTTGACATAAAATGAAGGCATCAGAGGAAAAACACACACACCCTCCCAGCCTGGCTACTGCCAAGCAGTGAAGTGCACCCCGGGCTTTGGGTGCAGTGTGTTTTTTTGTAATGCTTTTTGCACAGAGATAAGGGGAAATTCTGGGGCTGTTTCTATGTTAAACTTTTATTACTGGACTTGCTTCTGCTGAGAACTAGTGTCTGGCACAAAGAAAAAGCACAGCTCCAAAAACTACTAACAAAATTATTGGACTTTGATTTCTGGCTCTGAGAATTGAGAATTAACGTTCTTGTGTTCCTGTTCGTACACTTATCACTGCAAATCTCTCTGGTACACAACACTTTGATTTTAAATTTGTAAACTTTTGAAATTTTTGGCCAATTTTTTTTTAAGTGTAATCTTTGGTGTAAAATTTAAAAGCATGGATGCTCAGCCATAGGCTAGTGGGAGTCGTAAGTTCCCTGTACGGCTGAAGGTCAGGCCACTTAGGGCTCTGAATGTAGTTAGGTAGCTAATTTTAGGCACCCACTTTTGATTGATAGTTGCTCCTGGCAATAGACTTCCCCTTCTGCTCTGCACTAGCACCCTCAGCAGAGCAGCCTGCAAACCACCAGTTCCCACTTGTCAAAAACCTGGCAACTAGCCAGCAGTCAGGAGATTAGTGTGACCCCTCTTTCACCCTGGTTGGGTAAATTTAAGTTCTTTTTCTAATTTGGTTCTTTTCCACTCTGAAATGTTTTAGAGCAAATGATCAATTCCCAAAGGGGAGCCCTCGTTTGGCAGAGATGGTGCTCCATAGATGCCATTTCCTTTTGGGTTATCTGGAAGTGAGACTTTGGCAAAGACTTTACAACTTTATTCTTAGTGTTTTGTGGTTTTGAAAATCCAGGGGAAGGAGGACACTGCCTGCCCTTATCTGAGCCTCTTGAGGTTGATTAACTGCCTCTTTCTTGGCATGTGCAGTGCTTAGCTTGGTCAGTTTTAATAACTTTGTTGGTGAGTGTGCTTTGAACACAGCTTGTCAGAGAAATAATTTACACAATATTTTCAAAAAGGTTCTATATTTAATGTATTTAAACAAAAAAATAAAACTTAAATGCAATCCAGAGAGAACTGAGGTTTTTTGGGTGACCGCTATGGTTCTGAATCCAGATAGTTCTGCAGCTAGAGACAGTGTTTTAGGGCTCCATGTCCTGAATTGATTTTTAGGTTCTGTTTTAGGAACTGTTTAATGTAAATGATGTCAACTGCTATGGATGGGACATCAGCTTTTTTTTATGGCCTCAACTAGCACACTCGTGTCACGAGAAATGGCTTTTTGAGCAGACATGCTTTCTAATATAGAGGGTGGGGTGTCTTACCCACGTGTGCTTGTACTTGGGTGGTGGAGGAGGTAGTGAATGCCATAAAGATAAGGAGTAAATATGTCACCGTCTAAAAACAAGAACAAAGATCTGTTTGAGTGAAGTTGGCTGCCCCAAACTCCCTGCTTGCTGTGTGTCCTGCTTTCCGGGGTATTAAATAAAAGATACTTAAAGCTGCTTTCCAGCCAAACTCTGAGATCAAACTTCATTATCATTCCTGAAGTGCATATTCTCTCCACTTCAATCCTGTTCTCTTGGGTAAGCTTAAAAGTTTAGTTTTAGATGCTGTGGTTTCCTAGAATGAAGGAACTATTTAATAACAACTTTCATGATTTCCTGTGACAAGGAGGAGCAAGTCAATGGGAAACAAACCACCTAGGTGGAATCTATGGAATCAGTGTTGTGGTGACATGTTGCTCTGTAATGCCTTATGCATAGTAAGGGAACTTCCCTCCCTCTGTATCGTGCAGTAAAATTATGATGGAAACATTGGGCCCAATTCATCATTGCCCTGTGTGCCATCCAGTCCCACCATACCTCCCCCGGGAACACCCCCCACAGGGTCTCTGCATCACTTTTACAGGAGATCCTCCTCCCTCCCTGGGGCATTGGTGTGGGGTGAGGGCCAGCTGGAGGAGGGAGGGAGTGTGGTTGGGGCATTCTTATGATTCTGTGACCATGCAATAGCCTATAAGAGACCAATTTAAAGCAGGCCTTATGGCAGGGGTGGGCCACATCTGGGTATGTAAATTGTATGGGGGGCCATGAATGCTCACAAAACTGGGGGTGGGGTGCAGGAGGGGGTCTGGGCTCCAGCTGGGGGTGCAGGCTCTGGGGTGGGGTCAGAAATGAGGAGTTCAGGGTGCAGGAAGCGGCTCCGGACTGGGGCAGGGAGGTGGGGTGTGTGTGTGTGGGCTCTGGCTGGGGGTGCGGGCACTGGGTTGAGGATGAGGGGTTGGGGGTGCAGGAGGGTGCTCCGGGCTGGGACCGAGGGGTTCGGAGGGCAGGAGGGGGATCAGGGCTGGGGCAGGGGGTTGGGGCGTGGGAGAGGGGCAGGGGTGCAGGGTCCAGGCAGTGCTTACCTCAAGCAGCTCCCAGAAGCAGCAGCAGCATGTCCCGCCTCTGTCTCCTATGTGGAGATGCGGCCAAACGGCTCTGCACGCTGCCCTTTCTGCAGGCACCACCCCTGCAGCTCCCATTGGCCATGGTTCCTGGCCAATGGGAGCTGCGGCAGCGGTGCTTGGGGTGGGGGCAGCGTGCAGAGCCCCCTGGCTGCTCCTACGTGTAGGAACCAGAGGGGGGACATGCTGCTGCTTTCGGGAGCCCTGCGGAGCGGGGCAAGCCCCCAACCCCGCTCCCCATCTGGAGCACCGGAGCGGGACAAGCCCCTGATCCTGCTCCCTGGTGGGAGCCCGAGAGCCAGATTAAAACATCTGGAGGGCCAGATGCAGCCCCCAGGCTGTAGTTTGCCCACCCCTGCCTTATGGACTAGAGCAGAGGTGGGCAGCTGGGGAGCAGGGTCTGGGGCTTGCCCCGCTCCAGCCGGGGGCACCAGGTCGGGGGCCGCACCACACGGCTTGGACCCGCTCCAGCCAGGGGCGCCATAGCTTGGCCTCGCTCCAGGGCACAGGCTCTGGGGCCGCACCACACAACTCCTGGAAGCAGCTGCATGGCCTCGCTCTGGTACTCTAGCAGGGTTGGGGGCTGCTCCACACGTAGGAGCCGGAGAAGGGACATGCCACTGCTTCCAGGAGCCGTTTGAGGTAAGCATCACTCGGAGCCTGCACCCCAATTCTCTACCCCAGCATTCATGGCCTGCCATACAATTTCTATTCCCTGATGTGGCCCTCAGGCCAAAAAGTTTGCCCGCCCCTGTACTAGAGTCAAATTGGTCCCTGGCAGTTGCTGAAAGGAGGGAGGTGCAGTCTCTTCTCTTGTTCTGGCATCAGCACAGGTGAATCTGGCCCATTGCTTTTACTCGAGAGAGGCAGCAAATGCTGTATTTATTTATTTTTTTTTATTATTTTTTTTAAGTCTTTGTACTACAGGGGTGGTGCGATTGCACATCAACAACTGGCTTGAAGTGAGTTTCTGTCTGCCTCATAAAATCCATTATGTTGCAACAAGCTTTATACCTCCTGAAGCGATTGAAAGAAGCCTGAAAGCGATTAGGTAAATATACCCTGTTCTTCAGTGCCCAAATGTTCTTGTGCCTCTCTAACACTAACATTTAACTTCTCTCCCTTTGTTCCGATTGACCCAAACGTTTTACAGCCTTACTGAAAAATGTTACAGAAAATAATGAAGATTGACTTTTTTCGTTGTGCTCCCAGTTCCTGGAAATGGACTGTGTGTCTTTGTGATGTGAAAATTAGAGCCCATTTTGGTTTTCTAAATGGTGATAATGAGCTGAAACCAAGCTCTGCGCCCCAGCCTGTTCTCTTGTGACTAGACTTTTTTCCTTAGGTATTTGTGGCACTGTTGTTGACTGAACACACTCAGTGGCAATGCTGAGGTTTTAAAGTAAGGCAGCAGCCAGCGTCTGCATTATTTACAATTGGAAGATCTTGTCTTAGAGGTTATTGCAAGATATTCCCCATTCAAAGTGCCATCCTTAAAAGCAAACACTTCATTTTAACCATATTCATATTGAAGTGATTTCTTGTCCATATCACAGTTCCATGAAGTATCTAAATTCGCAAGGATTGGTATTTCCTGTAGATTTTGGGGGGGGAGGCGGTCCCATTTTTGTTTCCCGCTGTTCTATGGAGGTTTAGCTGCAAAAGTCACCTGCTGCGTTACTTTCATTTTTAGTGCCCAGTTCTGATCAGCAGTATACAGTGAGGTGTGTGCATTTCATCCCTGCTCCCTTGGGACCACAATCTGTCCACCTGTCTGGCTAGCTTTTAGGCTTTCCAAATGGTGATAGAGGCTTAAGCTCTTTTTGACAGGAGGCAGCTTGTCTTGCATAAACAAGAATGAACTAACTGTGAACATAGTCCTTAGCTATAGCTATCACAGTATCAGATGGTCTATTTTGCCAGTAGCTTGACAACATGCTCCAGCTCTGTGCCATAGTGAGGGGTAGCTGATCCTTCAAGAAAGAAGCAATTACAGATGACAGTGTTCTTTCTACAGGCCTTACCATGCCTTATTACTACTGAATGATGAGAAATCGTTGCTTAATGAGCTCCCATTGGACTGTTCCCCGGCCCTGGTGAGAGTGATTAAAACTACCTCTGCTGTGAAGAATCTGCAGCAGCTGGCTCAGGATGCTGACCTGGCATTACTACAGGTACAAGGAGTTGACAGTTTTTTAATTGAAGCTGTTTCAATTCACTAGGCATTTTCCTTCTTAGTGTCTGTGGTGTTTCTCTAGTATCCTTTACATGTGCATAGAATGCTCGTCTTAGCGCTAGGGAGAGGGTTGGAGAAAGGCATCAGCCCCTCCTGGTGGAGGGAGAAGTTGGTCAGCCCTCATGCTGTACCTGATTCAGAATGAACTTTAACTTGGCCTCTAGTAATTAAATCCCCTACACTTTCTTACATTGATCTTTACTTTGTAAGTATACATTTTAAATGTTGGTGCAACCTAACCTTGCCCAGTCACGGAATATCTGTTACTGTTGCACCTGGGTCTGCTAATTCACAGTGCTGGATTTGGGTTTCCTCCTTCCTGAGAGAGCAGAAATGCTACTTGCCGCTTCAACATTGTTAGCTATTCAACCATCTTATACATGTTTAATAATAATAATGTGCTAACTCCCAAACATCACAATCGGATTGGGCTCAATTGTACAAGGTGCTGTACAAACGCACAATAAATCAGTCCTTGCCCCCAAAGATCTGACTGTCTAAAAGTAAAATGGTAAGATGGAACAAATAAGTGGGCTGGGGGTGAGGGGCAGGGAGCAGGGGAGACAGTATAACAGGGTCAGTTCAGCAACACTCAATTCCGTTTAGTGTCTGGACCATGGTTTGGTGGTGACCTGGGTTTCCACCCTGTGGGAAATGTCAGCTTATTCTTAAGTTGTGCTGCTGGGAGGAGAGAATGTCTTAGCCCTGAAACAGGGGCTGCAACAGTACAAAAATGACAGAGTTTATAAGATAGAAACTAAAAAATGTCTACCTGTCTGAGAGGCTGAATTTCTAATGTGTGTCCTGTTTTCCTGCTTATCCAACCTTCAGGGAATCTGGCTTCACAAGAATTGCCAGGCTCAATCAGACCTGTGGTGGATATAGTCCAGTATCCTGTCGCTGACAGCAGCCAGACCAGATAGAATCATAGAAATGTCCAACTGGAAAGGACCTCAAGCCCCACCCTCCTGCTGAGGCAGAATATGTAGACCATCCCTGTCTAACCTGCTCCCCTTATTGTGACAGGTTGGATCACAGAAACCCCCTTGGGAACTGCCAACTGATGTGCCAAGACTACTTCTGCCCCTGCTTTCCCTGCCAGATCGGGACCCCAGCACCCTATCTTGCTGAGACAGACACGCCAGTCTGCTCCAAAAACAGATCCAGAATCTGAACCACGTGTCCCAAAGCTGCAGACTTGACTGAAAGCAACTTACAGAAGTGTTCTTGTCTTTAACACTCAGATGCCCAAATCCCAATTGGGTCTAAATAAATCTAAACAACTCATAAATTGTTCGCCCTCTATAACACTGATAGAGAGAGAAATGCACAGCTGTTTGTCGTCCCCCCCCCCCCACCCCCGGTATTAATACATACTCTGGGTTAATTAACAAGTAAAAAGTGATTTTATTAAATACAGAAAGTAGGATTTAAGTGGTTCCAAATAGTAGCAGACAGAACAAAGTGAATTACCAAGCAAAATAAAATAAAACACGCAAGTCTGAGTGTAGTACAATAATAAAACTGAATACAGATAAAATCTCACCCTCAGAGATGTTTCAATACGTTTTTTTCACATACTGGATGTCTTCCTATTCTGGGCACAATCCTTTCCCCTGGTACGGCCCTTATTCCAGTTCAGGTGGTAGCTAGGAGATTTCTCATGATGGCTCCTCCTCTCTTTGTTCTGTTCCACCCACTTAATATATCTTTTGCGTAAGGCAGGAATCCTTTGTCCCTCTCTGGGTTCCCACCCCCTCCTTCTCAATGGAAAAGCACGAGGTTAAAGATGGATTCCAGTTCAGATGACTTGATCACATGTTATTGTAAGACTTCATTACCCACTTGCCAGCACACACGTATCCAGGAAGACTTACAAGTAAAACAGAGCCATCTACAGTCAATTGTCCTGGTTGATGGGAGCCATCAAGATTCCAAACCACAATTAATGGCCTGCACTTTGCATAATTACAATAGGCCCTCAGAGTTATATTTCATACTTCTAGTTTCAGATACAAGAGTGATACATTTATACAAATAGGATGACCACACTCAGTAGATTATAAGCTTTGTAATGATACCTTACAAGAGATCTTTTGCATAAAGCATATTTCAGTTACATTATATTCAAATTCATTAGCATATTTTCATAAAATCATATAGAGTGCAACGTCACACTTATATTACCCAAAGTCCATTTTCTAGACCTCAAGAGCCAGGAGCCCCTGGTCCCCGGTCCCCCTATTGAGCTCACTAGCTTGTTAACTTGATAGCTTTGTCTTCTGTACATGTAAATGTACTTTCATTGTTCTTTGCCAGTTATCAAGCTAGTCAGGCAGGTAAATACACATGCCTTTGCCTAGGGCAGGCTGGCTTTATGCATTGCCTCCCAAATACGTTTTAGGAACACATTTCCAGTACATGCATACGACTCTTTGTACATAATATGTATGTACATCACAAAGTGATTTTTGGGACCAGCATGTCACCAATTTACATATGATACATGACACCTTTTAGATACATATTATGACAAAAGTATGTTGAGGAGTAATGAGTGTGTCAGGTCTGATATGAGTTAAATATGGTGGGCTCTCTGCCAGTTAGCACTGAGGGGCTCCTAGGGTCATACCTCCCCTCTTACAGTGCCGCAGGATGGTTAGCCACAGGCTGAACTGTAAGCAGTGGATCAGAATCCTCTTTCCTGGACAGACCATCTACCACTATATTTTCTTTCCCTTTTAATATGCACAATTTCCGTGTATTCTTGGAGCATCTCTACTCCTTCGCAGCAGTTTGGAATTGGTGTCCTTGGTTCTGGGTAACCAAACTGATGGAGAGTGGTCAGTTAGAACCCTGAATTTTCTGTTAGAGAAAGGGCCTTAATTGCATGATAATCCATACAATGGTATACCACTCTTTTCTATGACAGAGTAATTCTGTTTGGTGGGTGCCGATTTTTTTACTCAAGAAAGCAGTGGACTGCTTTTTGCTACTTTCCCCTGACTGCATTAGAACTAAATCTAAACCAATGTCTGATGCATTCATGCGCATTTTGTCAAAATCTGGACTGGCCACAACAGGCTTTTCTGACAAGATTTTCTTTATCAAAACTCTCTTGACAAGCTTTTGTCCACAGCACTCTGTTTGGCTTTGTCTTCTTACAGAAGTTTGTGATAGCGGACATAATGTCAATGAACCCGTGCATAAATCGGCAGTAATAGTTAACCATGCCTATGAAAGATTGGATCTGCTTTTTGGTCTGGGGCGAATAGTTTCTATTTTCAAAGGATCAGGAGAGGTTTGGCCACCATCTTACACAGTGTCCCAAATAAGGAACGTTTGCTGCTCCTATTTTACATTTAAAGGCCTTCACAGTAAGACTTGCATCCCTGAGTTTTGAAAGTACAGCCCTCCAGTGTCTCTTGTGAAGTGACCAAGAGTAGCTGAACATCGCTATGTTATCATGTGAAGTCTTGTAATCTGTTTAACACTTGGTTGACAAGCCTCTGAAAAGTGGCTCCTGCATTAATTAATCCAAAAGATAACATTTTGAAATCATGAAGTTCAAACCCATATCAGTAATAAAAGTAGATTTCTTCTATTTGTCGTTGTGCAAAGGAATCTGCCAGTACCCTTTTACCAGATCAGTTGTGCTAAGAGATACTTTGGGCTAAGCAAAATATAACATTTTATCAATTCTGGGCATAGGATAGGCATCAGAAACTGTGACAGTATGAAGTTTTCCATAATCAACACAAAACCTTACAGTCTTATTTGTCTTAGGAACCAACACAGGAGATGCCCAGGGACTGTCAGACTCTTTAATTACTCCCATATCCTGAATACTCTGTGTTGCTTTATGGATTTGCTTGTGCACTTTCCCAATGGTTCAGTATGCCCTGCTAGGTGCAGGTTGGGGATCCACAGAGTCAGTCTTGTGGACCATTTTATGAGTCATCATTGGCATGTTAGAAAATATCTGCTTGTGTTTTTGCAGCCACGATTTCTACCCTCTCTGTCTGTTAGCTCTTTGCATATCTTAGTGCTTTCAAATGATGAGTCATTGGGGCATTCAGACACTAGATCAATGAAGTGTCAAGTCTGACTGACTCCCTTTCATCACAACAAAGCATATTCACAATTGCTTCTGTATTGTGATAGATTTTAAGTCTATTCACATGCACTGTCTGTGGGCAACCTTGCTGTGGGGTCTTTTTACACTGTACATGACTTAATTTTCTCTCTCCACAACCTATAAGGGCCCCTCCCATGAGTTTTGCATTTTGCTCCCTTTTTACAGAGAACAGTTTTAGTAGTATTATCAACCCCACACCTCAAAACAGCACAACTTCAAGCATTCTTATCATACTATGCTGTTTGTGTGGTCTGGCAATCCATGAGGTTAGTTTGAACCACGTCCAGCATGTCTTTTAACTCCTTTCTGAACTTTTGTACATATTCAATCGCTGGTTCTCCTTCTGGTTCAGTACCCCTCTCCCAGAAGGGCCTGATAAGATCTAGGTGTTCTGTCACTTTTCTCTTACACAAGAGATGAAATAGGGAAAACCCTGTGGACTCTTGGGGCACCTTCCTAAAGACAAATAACGTGGTAATTTTTCATCCCAAGCCCCTTGCCCTTTTGTTTGCATACATTCCCAGCATAGATTTCAGTGTTCCTATGAACCTTTCAACCAAACTGTTTGTC